CGGTCTCACAACTATAAAGCAGAACTGAACAAACGCTAGCGCAGTATACATGACCTTTCAGCTTTAGGGAAACGTCGCGTCTACGCCAAAGGTGTTTCAGTCCTGCATATGCTGTTCGAGCCTTAGAAATGCGGGCGGTTAAGTCCTTTGCTGCACTAACGTCATGGGTCACGCAACTACCTAAGTAGGAAAAGCAATCCACCGTAACTAATTCCCGACCACCTAGTTTTAGAGCGGGAGTAGGCAGCATTATTTTGCACTTTGAAGGTGAAAGCACATATCAAATGTGGCAATCGCATTTGCTAGTCTATCAAGTGCGCTTTGCGCGTCCACCATACATTCAAAGAGCCACACGATGCCATTGGTGTACTCTAAATCACACACCTTTTCTCCACCTGCCCATTCAATTCCTGCGTTTTGGAGATCACTTGGTGCGTTCTCCAGTATTTCGTCTACGACGAAATTGAACAGGAACGGCGAGAGAGAGGGCATCCTTCGCGAACGCCACTACTGATGACGAATAGCCCACTTAGTTCATCATAGACTCTCAGACGACGAGAGGTACGCAAGTACAGTGACCCCAGTAAGTTAACGTACTTCTGGGGCATGCCTTTTCGAAGGCAACTCACCCGAGCTTCGCGGTCAAGCGAGTCGAAGGCTCCTTTCAGGTCAGGGAACACTGTGATCGTTGACCGACGGTAGGTGCTCAAGGGCCTGGCGCAACGTAAACATTTGATCAACACATATACGGCTAGGCAGGAATCCGGCTTGCTGTCTACTGATGTTGATTTCTCTTAGAGGGGTCAGACGTCGAAGTACGACTGAGGCAAGCACTATGGTGACGATTGGGATTAAAGTTATCCCGCGGTGGTTTTCACAGTCGTTGAGACATTCTTTCTTGAAAACGGGAACGATCAGGGATTCACTCCAAGATGAAAAAATGCTCTCTTGCGTCCAATAGTTGCGCAATACGGTAGTAATAGAGGTGTCGAGGCAATCATCTCCCATCTTGAAAGGATGGGAGGGAGCTCATCTGGTCCTGCTGCCTTGCCTCGCTTCAGAGCCCCAATTCAAGACCGAACTTCTGCTTCCGTTGGAGGATCGCACGACACTGCCCACGGAGCTTCAGTTGCGGATGAGGCAACCTGGTCAACGGCAGGCCAACTGAACTTTACGCTGAAGTATTCTGTCCAGCGATTAAGTCGTTGATCCCTATTGTGAATAGCTTGTCCTACCTTATCCCAGACTGTCTCACTAAATGCAGTTCGCCGACCTCCTGTATTGCGTATCAGTTGGAAAAGTATTGACTATTTCCTGATGCAGCTCCTACTTCCATTTCACTAGCTATCGTTGCTACCTACCTACCTGCCTACCAGCTCTCACGGTCCTTCTTGAGGCTCTTCTTAAGCTGACGTTGTGATGCCACCTAACTCTGTTTTGATCCTGGAAGGTCGGGATTTGTCATTTCTTCCATCAAAACTACTGACTCTTGAGATATCCAATGCCTCCGACGGGCTTGAGGTTCAGACCCACAAGCAACGTTCGCTGCGGAATGCGTTGCTCGCCTAATCCGATCCCACTGCTCATCTACATAATCAGGCTGAGGCGCGCTTACCCCACACACTAGCTCTGATTCATAGCGCACAAGAACTGCTGCAACAGATAGTTGATGATGAGCTATCCGAGTTGGCTGGTTTTGTCGCCGACCAGTCAGTCGAAGAGTGAACTTCATCAGAACTAATGCGTGGTCAGACTCAACGCAAGTGGTCCAATAGGAGCTGCAATTTTGCACAGAGCCACGCCAACGATACTGCTATGTGGTTGATTTGAGTTAGCGTGCCAGCTGGACTGGAGCGCCAAGTTGCCGTCCGTCGAGAGCTATGTCGGAATTTGGTGTTTGATAAGAACAGATGATGGTCTACGCAGAACTGAGGAAGCCGATCGCCGTTATCCGTTCATTGGCTGGGCAGAGCACAATTACCGCCAAGGCAAGGTTCTGATGCGCCCAGTTGTCTAATGTGCACGTTAAAGTCACCTGCAAGTACAGCTGTTGGAGCTTCGACTAATCTGAATGGGATCGGTGAGTTCATCGTAAAAAGCGTCCTTTTGGGTATCAGAACTGCAATTGGTCGGTGCATTTGCTGATACGATTAACAAACACCTTCTGGTGTTGCTTCCCTTCCGGACGCTGATTGAACCCTGGAGACGCAATGCACATAAGACTGTTGACGGGGGATACAGTTGATAAGACAGGACTCCGCCCTGTTACTGAGTACAATATCTACCCCGCGCTGAACCACTGAGCGGGCTTCGTCGTCGCCTGATGTGCGAAGAACGCACCTCGAAGACAAATCTGCCGCATTCAAGTGGTTTATAACGGCAGGATCCTGGATTCGAGTCTCCACGCACAAAATATCGATCCCTAAGGATTCCATTGTACGCGCCAGACAAGCTTGTTGACCTACCTGCATCACAGTCAAGTTGAAGACCTCCAGATTCAGTGATCGACG